AAAAAACGATCAGTCATATCGAGGTTTTGTATGGAAGAGGTAACAAAAAAGTGCTTCAAGGAGAAAACACTATAGTACTTATAGTAGGTATAATTTATTTCCTAGAGAAAGTTTCAGAACGTATTTGAAAAGGAAGTAGATATATATATAGGACACCAATTATATATATAATTCTTAAAGTATGGTATTAATATATATATAGTTGAGATGGTTTCAGTAAAAAAGAGGCGGTAGGTTTTCTATTCAATTAAGAGATTATAACTTCCTTCGAAAGCGAGAAAGAAGCAAGTATGACCGATGACCTGATTTCATTTTGTTTATCTATATTCCTAGACTTACATTTATATATGGGACTTTTTACTGTGAGTGAGATGTCGAAACCGTATGAGAACAAGTCCTCAATTTACAACAAATTACCGTAACTAAGATGAAAACCGCAGCCAGTAAAACATATATAAATTATTATTATTATTATTTCTTTTTTTCTTTTTTTTTCTCTCTCCTTAATTACTTTTCCTCTAGATATATATATATGCTAGTAACCTCTGTACAGTAAAATATTTAGTCTATTATTGGCAGGGACTTGTATTTCGTAAAGTGTACAGTTACTTCTATCTCAATAAAAAGTGCACGTTAAACTTTTCACCGTCAAAAAAGTGAACCATTTATTTTACGAAGCTAAAATAACCCAGAAAAATCTCGTTATACGTAAACTAAAAAAATCTAATGGTTCGTTTTTAACTTAAAATTTACCAAATAATAATAATAATAGGAAAAGTAAAAAAAACAGTAAACAAGCATAAATTTGGTCAGAAAAATAAGATAATTATAACTATTCTGAAAATGGTCTTGAGAAAGAACCCCCAGCTTATTATCTACCTTTTCGTCTCCATTTTTTTATATTTACAAATTTAAAGTACACGTTTTTTTTTTTTAATTCTAAGGGGCGTAAAAACACACATGAGGATATAGAGGTGTTAAAAGTAGTTTATCTTACTAATGTAACACAATGATAGTTTAGTTACAACCATATAGAAAAAAAAATGACTAGACATAAGACATTGGAAAAAAAAAAATTTTTTTTCTTTCTTGGTATTCTTTTTTAAATCATAAAATATATATGTGTATAGTTCCGTAGTATTCTTTATCATCTATCTAATGAACCAATCGATATATTCAGAAGAAGAATGGAAGTGATTAGTATGATTGATCCTGGTACTTGGACTCGTTTTGGTGTTCACTGTAAGTGTTTTTATCTGATTTTTTTTTTTTTAAATTAGAACTACATCATAAACAAATAAATAAAAAAAAAAATCTCTTATCTGATTTTTGTCACACATATTTATTTATATTTTTTTTGGTAGATGGTTTGTTCTTGGGTGCTTTACAAAGTAATGCTACTTCTGGACAGCTAGGTTATTGGCTTCAAAGAGGTGCCCTTTCCTTAACCAACATGGTAGGCTGCTTTGCAATGACTGAGTTGGGTCACGGTTCTAATGTACCTGGTCTTGAAACAACTGCTACCTTTGATGAAGCCTCTGATCAGTTTATTATTCACACACCAACGGTTACTGCTACAAAGGTAATTTATATATATATATATATAATTATACATTTGAATCAAAAGAAGATTAATTTGATTTTTGTTTATTTTTATTTTTTTATAGTGGTGGATTGGTGGTGCTGCCCATAGTGCTACGCATGCCTCCGTCTTTGCTCAATTGATTGTAAAGGGTAAGCGCTACGGCACAAAGTGCTTCGTCGTGCCTTTAAGAGATCCAAAGACATACAACACTTTGCCTGGTATCAACATTGGTGATATTGGTAAAAAGATGGGCCGTGATGGTATTGACAATGGTTACATTCAATTTACACATGTACGCATCCCCAGAGGTTATATGTTGATGAAACATACAAAGGTATCTCGCTCTGGTGATGTCCAAGAGCCTAAGCTTCAACAATTGGTAAGTTTTTTTAAAATGACTGTAAATATATATAAATGAATGACCGGAATAAATAATATAATGTATATAGACTTATGGTGCTTTGCTTCAAGGTCGTGTTGCTATGGTGGTTGATAGTGGAAACACATCTAAAAAGGCACTTACCATTGCTATTAGATATGCAGCTGTTCGTCGTCAGTTCTCTAACTCAAAGAGCAATATTGAAACCAAGTTGCTTGACTATCCTATTCACCAGCGCCGTCTTATGCCGCTGATGGCCCAAACATTTGCCATGCTATTTACTGGTACTGAAATGACCGCCATGTATACCAAACTGATGAGCAAATTGGAAAGCGCGGATGCCGCCGACTCGAGTGATTTGGATGAAGTTTTGGAAATGTTGAAAGAAACACACTCTACCAGCGCTGGTCTTAAAGCTTTCTGTACCTGGAACTGTCTTGATACCATTGAACAATGCAGACAGGCATGTGGTGGTCATGGCTATTCTGCTTATACTGGTTTAGCTGGCATGTATCAAGATTTTGCTGTCCAATGTACATGGGAAGGAGATAACACCATCTTGACACTTCAGTTGGGCCGTTATCTTGTCAGTAGCTATCGTGAAGCTCTCAAGGGAAAGAAGTTATCTCCTGGTGTAGGCTACCTTAATAACCTCGACTCTCTCCTTGGAAAACGCTGTCAAATCACGGATCTTGAAAATATTTTAGATCCAGCTGTTATCATTGAAGGCTGGCAGGTCGTTTGTGCCAATGTTGTTAAAAACACCGCCCTCGAATTTGAAGAATGTCTCAAGAAGGGTCTCGACGTAGATGACGCCTATGAGCAATGCTCTCAGTCACGTCTTTACGCTGCAAAACTCCACTCTTATGGTTATCTGTTTAACCGTTTTGTTGATGGTGTAGCCAAGGTTCAAAGCGAATTAAAGTCAGTACTCTTAGATCTCTGTCTCTTGTATGGTTTATATACCATTGAACAAAACGCAGGTGCTTTCTTGGAATACGGTTACTTTAATCCCAAACAAATGGAATATATTCGCTTAAAGACCAATGACTTCTGCAAGGCTGTTCGTAACCAGGCTATTCCTCTTGTAGATTCTTTCAATCTCAGTGACTATGTTGTTAACAGTCCACTTGGCCGCGCAGATGGAAATGTTTATGTTGCCTACTTTGATAAAGTCAAGAACTCTAATCCTCAAGGTCCTCATCCTTACTTTAATAAGATTATCAAGCCTCTCATTGAACGTGATACTGAAAGTGGTGCTATTGAAGACGAAGAAGCAGGCTTAGAATCCGATGACGAAGATGATTAGATAGCAAATCCCCCCCATTTATTACATATAGACTTTCTTTTATTTATTTTTGTAGAATATTTATTTTTATTATAATTCTGTATGACATACAGCTTGTATTACAATAGAATGATTTAAATGACACTTTTTATTACCTGTCTCCGCTCTTTCTCTCCTTATACATTCATTTCTGTTCTTTTTTTTTTTTTCTA